GCCGCCCCCAGCCGGCCCGCCCGACCCCAGCCCCAGCCCCACGGCGGCCGCCCCGCCGCTGCCCCGGCGCGGCGCTGCCCCGGCCCCGCTCGCACCGTAGTGGAAGTTCCCCACGTCCGGGTCGTAGAAATAGGCCACGGTCTTCGCCATGGCGGACAGGCCGCGCCGCGCTCCCGCTTACGTCATCACTCCGCGACACCCGCCCGGGGCCGGGATGGGGGCGTGGCCACAACAAAGCCACGCCTACAAGTGGGTGTGGCCCGCCCGGGGGCGTGGCCACCCGCGGTCCCGGTGTCACCCCCCCCGTCCGGTCCGGTCCCGGTGTCACCGCCCAGCTCCGGACCGACCCGCTGTCCCCAGCGCTCACGGCTGTGCCCCGGCCCGCCCCCTCAGCCCGGCGGCCCCAGGTACCGCGGCACAGCCCGGTGCCACCTGCGTGCCCCGGCTGCAGCCCCTTGGCGAGTTACCGGCTGCGCTCCGGCCATGACCCCCTGCCACCCCCCAGCCATCCTCAGCTCCCCCAGCCATCCCTCACCGTCCCTCACCTACTCCCAGTCACCCCCAGCGGATCCCAGTCACCCCCAGCAGATCCCAGTTACCCCCAGTAGATCCCCAGCAGATCCCAGTGACCCCCAGTAGATCCCCAGGAGATCCCAGTCGCCCCCAGCAGACCCCCGCTCCGCACTGGATTCCCTCCCGCAGGCCCGCCGCTGCCTCCCAGCCATTCCCAGTCACTTCCAGCGCCTGCTGTTCCCTCCCGTAATTCTCCACCTGCCCCTCGGGTGCCGCCAGTCACCCCTCCCCGCTCCTCGCCTGCTCCCAGTGCCTCCCAGCTGCTCCAGCTCCTCCCAGTGAGCCCGGCTGGCGCTGGGTTCTCTTCTCCAGCTCCCCTGTCCCCCCCGGGGGTCACAGCCCCCCGGGCACAGGGCAGGGGGTTCCCAGGGACACCCACACCCGGGTGGGGCTCGTTCCATCCCCGTCCCCGAGGATGGGGACGTGCCACTGCCAGTGTCACCAGGTGCCAGCCGGGGTGCAGGCTCTCCGGAGCTCTGGGAGAGCCCTCTGGAGTCCTGCCGGGCAGGAGCAGCACACGGCCTGGGGGATCGTGGGTGTGAGGGGGCAGCGGGATGGGGGAACGCTGGGGCTGACAGCAGGAGGAAGCTGAGCATGGCCGGGCAGGGCTGGCAGCACAAAGCTGCTCCCCGGGGCTGCAGGGAGGGAAGGACGGACGGACAGAGCAGGAAGCCGTGTCCAAAGGCTGGGAAAAGCAGCCAAAACCAATGCTTGGTCCTGCCAGCCTCCTGCTCGGTGCCTTCCTGCAGGCTGGGGTGAAGGAAGCTGTGCTGGGGACAGGCTCCTCTGAGGATGGGCACTGGGGTGTTCCCTGGCAGAGGGGATGCCAGGCTGGCATTCCCAGGGCATGGAAACCCCCTGGAAGCAGCAAGGGCAGCGTCCTGCCTGCGTGGGGTGGGGCATGGTGGGATGGCTGGGAGCTCTGGGTGCTGTGCTGGCTGCAGGGGCCGAGGTGGGATGAAATGGTGGGGTTGTTAAAGGGGATTTCTGGCTGTCCCTGTCCCCCCTGAGGGGACACTGCCCCTTGTGTGGGTTTCCTTTCAGGACCCCAGCTCCAAAGGATCACAGGATGGGTTAGGGGATAGGACTGGAAGGGACCTTAAAGGGATCTCATTCCAATCAATCCCCTGCTGGGGGCAGGGACACATCCAGAGGAGACCCAGGACCCTCTCACCATGAGCCCACAGGGCCCAGCTGTGCCTGGGGACACTCGGAGAGGGCACCAAGGCCAGCCCCCAGCAGGGGAAACTGTGGGAAATTCAGGACTCTTGGACCACTGAGCAATATGATTAGGCAGGAGCTGTTTATTGTTTGCATTATACAGTTATTTCTACATTCCTGCTCTTTGCACACATTTCTTGCTGTGCCTTTGTCTTGTGCAGGTGTTCTGCGTGCACCTCTCAGAACATGGCACTGGTGCTTTGCTGCTCTTATTTACTTCCTGTGCTCTTGGAATTTGGTTTCTCAGCTTCTTCTTTCTTATTTAGCACAGTTTATGAGTTAGAAACCGTGATGGATTCCAGAGGGTTCTGAGAAGAGTCTGATAAGAGCAGTTCCAGCTGGATGGCTGGTGCACACTGCAGCCTGAGCTGCCCAGGTACATTGCTCCAGGAAATCACGGATTTAAACGTGCTGAGCACCATGGCTGAGCTGGGAGCTCCGCAGCTCTGACGCTGCTGCCTCATGACGGCTGTCCTGTCCCTGCTCCACCAGCTGCTGCCACCAGATAACGCCTGCCTGGGGACACGGAGCCACCCGGGGCACGTCCCAGTGCCCGCTGGGGACGGGCTGAGGAGAGCAGAGACACAACACGGCCCTGCTTGGGGAGAGCAGAGACACGGCCCTGCTTGGGGAGAGACACGACCCTGCTTGGGGAGAGACATCCCTGCTTGAGGAGAGCAGAGACACAGCCCTGCTTGGGGAGAGACACCCCTGCTTGGGGAGAGGCACAGCCCTGCTTGGGGAGAGCAGAGACACGGCCCTGCTTGGGGAAAGGAGGGACACAGCCCTGCCTGAGGAGAGACACGACCCTGCTTGGGGAGAGCAGAGACACAACACGGCCCTGCCTGAGGAGAGACACATCCCTGCTTGGGGAGAGACACAGCCCTGCTTGAGGAGAGACATCCCTGCTTGAGGAGAGCAGAGACACAGCCCTGCTTGGGGAGAGACACCCCTGCTTGGGGAGAGGCACAGCCCTGCTTGGGGAGAGCAGAGACACATCCCTGCTTGAGGAGAGACACACAGCCCTGCTTGGGGAGAGACATCCCTGCTTGAGGAGAGGCACAGCCCTGCTTGGGGAGAGACATTCCTGCTTGAGGAGAGACCCAGCCCTGCTTGAGGAGAGACACAGCCCTGCTTGAGGAGAAGAGCCGCGTCCAGCTGGGATCACTCTGGTGCCTGAGCCGTCCTTCTGGAAGCTGGGTGCTGCTCCAGGCATCTTCGCGGGTGTCGGAGCAGAGCAGGGAAGGGTCAGAGAGGGATATTTTTAGACGCTCTTTGTGCTCAGAGAGCAGAAGCAGGCTGTGGTTTAAAGGCCATTAGCTGCTGGGCACCTTTGGAAGGCTGGGGCAGGGCTGAGGATTCACGGACACGTTTGGCACGATGGGATGGAGCAGCTTTGCAGACGTGAGGACAGTTTTTGGGCTGAGCATTGAAGTGAAGATCCCAAGAGGAGCCTGGCTCTGGGCAGTGCAGCCCCTTTAGCTGCCACGTGGACAGGCAGCGGGGCCAGGGCGGCTGATCCCCCAAAAGGACCTGGTCCCATTGCTTGTGGGGTGACATTTGCTCCAATGGCTGCAGAAGAGGAGCAGGAGAAGAGCAGACAAGAGGTAACGTGGGATTTCACTGGGACCAGAGCCAGCCGAGGGACAGGGTGACAGGTGACAGTAGTGTCCTACCAGCCTTTCCTCGGCCACTCTGTCCCCTCCCTCCCAAGCCTCCAAAGGCTGAAATTCCAGTGTTTCCAGGCAATGCCTGGAGAGGCAGTGAAGCCTCCAATACCTCCAGGGTTCAGGGAAGCCCTGAGGGGGAGCTGGGAAGGAAGGAAAGAATGGTTTGGGTTGGAAAGGACCTTAAATCTATCTCATTCCAACCCCCTTCCACTAGAGCAAACCCCATCCAGCCTCGCCTTGGACACTCCCAGGCATGGCTAAGGCCATCTCCAAGGTCGGGAAGTGCTGACACTTTGGCCCTGGTCAGTGCAGAGCAGAACATGCCAAGAATTCCAGCTGAGCTCACGAGGAAAAAAGACAACTCCAGCTTACCACTGTAGGGGAGCTCGTCACTAATTGGTTCATCCACGAGCAAGGAGGTTTCATAAGTCCTGAAAACATGGGGAAAGAGGAACTCAGTTCATTGAAAGGGACATGGGAAATGCAGGGACAACTCCCACAGCAGTGCCCCTCAGCAGGCAGAGGGGACTCTCTGGACCAGCACTGTGCCATGTTCTGTTCTGTGTAACCTCCTCCTCCTCCTCCTCCTCCTGGTGGTGCTGGGTGAGGCGGGCAGGCAGAAAGAAGGCAGCTGCCTCTCCCAGAGCTCCAGCCAGATTGTCCAGGTTGTCTCAGCTGCCACTGCCTCGGCTGGCGGGGTCACCCAGGCCAGGAGAGGAGCTGGGAGGGGTCAGGAGGGACAGAGGATGCAGATCCCAGACTGTGGCTGAGCAGGCAGCCCCCAGCCATGGCTGCAGCTCTCCAGCTTGGTGTGGGGCTTTGCCCCATGTGGGTTCTGTCCCCCATGGCCAGGATGAACATGGCCAGCCTGCACACAAGGGGAGCTCCGTTGTGTGGGTTCATGCCTCAAATGCTGGCTGCTTTTGGGGCACAGAGGTGCCGGGGTGTTGTTTCTGGGTGACCCGTGAGGTGCTGTGTGGGACAAGGACTAAGGCCCTGCAGGGACACTGAAGCTGAGGTGGTGGAAGCAAGATGGAGACTGGGAGCAGGTTGGGAGAATTAGGAAGAGAAACAATCAGCTGGGGTAATCCAGCTGCAGAGCCAGGAGGGAGCAGCTTGACAGCCACAGAATCCCCTCCTCATCCTGGCTCACCCCACGAAGGCCAGGATTTGTCCTCAGGATTTGTGCCACTGTGTCCCCCAGCTTGTGGAAATGCCTTGACACCAGAGGCTGTGGGAAATTGGGAATGTGCCCTCGAATGGGGAGTCCTGATCAGCCTGGCACGGCTGGGGTCGGGCAGGGGGTGGGATGCTGGCAGGGCCAGGGTGCAGCAATGCTCTGGGCGGGCAGGAATGCCCAGGAGGAGAAAGAGCGATTCATTGTGCAGGACAGCGTGCGTGGGCACGAGGAGAACGGGAACTGCTCGCCGTGACTGCGTCCCCTCAGGGCCCTGCAGAAACCCAGAGCTGCCAGCTCCCCCTGTGCACAGAAACAAGGAGCAAACTGCCTTTGAGCTTTACTTTGGGAGCTCTTCCTCGGCTCAGACCTGCATGGTGCAGCAGCTTGTTGGTCCGGGGTTTGGAGAGCTCTCCTCTCCTGTGGCTCAGCAATCCATGGCAGGAGGAGAAGTCTTGTTCTTGCACACGTGCTCCATTCCTGCCTCCCTGCCAGGACAGCGGGCAGATGGGTGTCACCAGTGACGTGGTGACCTCCTGAAGTCACGCTGATGGACGAGGCTCCTGGGAGCCAACTTGGTCACCTGTGCAGAGGGACAGGAGCCCCCAGCGAGGCACGCCTGGAGGAGTCACAGGCTGTGCCACAGCAAGGCAGACCATGGTGGGATAACTCCCATTAGGGGTTCCCATGGGATAATTCCCAGGGAGGAATGTGTGCATGGACCGGAGCTCGGTTCAGTGCAGATGGGCTGGGAGGGGTTTCCAGGGTTGCATCCCTCAGGGCTTGCGTGGAGAACTGGCAGGTGGCTGAAGGAGGGAGAGGAGCAGGTCTGATTTCCAGCAGCAAAGGAGTGGTGGGTGAAGCCTCCCAGAGTGAGGATAATGTGGTGGAGATGGAGAAGGAGGTCATGGGACCACCGCAGCGTGAGATTTCCAATGGCTTAGCCACTCCTTTTTTAGGAAGGAGGAAGACACAGGAGATTCCCGGGGCTCTTTCTCCACCCTCTCCTCGGTGCTGGGATCCCCCATGTGGGGGTCTGCACCCCTCTCCCCCCCTCAGCGCTGCTGTGTGATCAGTCCTGCCTTCACTGAGCCCCACTCCCACCTTTCTCCCTGCCATCACCAGGGCTCAGTGCCCTAAAATTCAAGGCAAGGAAGGTGCCAGGGGAGCTCGGGGCTGGCACGCGTGCGGGTGAGGTTATTCACCCCGGGGCGGGCGGCAGCCTGGCAGCTTCCCTGAGCAGCGCTCCTGCGTGTCCTGCTGCAGCCTCGGGCATCTCCGCGGGCTCCGCTCCGCGCCTTCCCCCGCCGAAACAGCTCCGGAGAGATTTTTTTTTCCCGGGATCGGGACAGGCGGGTGCTCTTGTGGCAGAGAGCGGCGGAGAGCGGCAGGCAGAGGCAGCTGGCTCCTTCCCGGGGAAGGCAGGCGGGGAGCCGGGGCCCGGGGGCCGGAGGATGCTCGCCGCGGTCCCCAGCCGCGGGGATGCGGGGTTGCTAGGAGGCAGGTGAAGGTGAAGGTGAAGGTGAAGAGGAGAGCGCTGCGGAGGACCGCAGGCCCAGGTAGCGCCGCAGCGGGGCCGGGGGGCAGCGGGGGGATCTCCTCCGTGCCGGGGAGCGGAGCCGGCGAGCGGGAAGGCGGGCGCCGAGCCCTTGGGAAAGGAGCCGGGGGCGCCCGGAGGAGCCGGGGCGGAGGGAGCCGGCTCGGTCCTGCGGGAGGACGATGCGGGAGCGGCCGGCGGCTCGGCCCTCCGCCAGCCCGGCCGCCGCGGCTCCCTGCCTGCCGGTGCCGCTGCCGGTGCCGCTGCAGGGCCTCGGCCGTGAGTACGGAGGGCTGCGGAGGAGCGGCGCGGCGCGGGAGGATGCTCAGCCATCCTCCGGCAAGGGCGAGCCGGGGGACGCCGCCGGCCGCAGAGCCCCGGGCAGGCCGGGGCACCGGTGCCCTTGGGGAGCCGCCTGCGAGGGACGGGGCAGCGCCGCAGCCCGGGGCCGGCGGCCTGCGGGGACGCTGCCGCCGCCGCTGCCCTTGGGATGCGGGGCGTGCGGGGCAGCAGTGTCCTTGGGAGACCGCGAGGAGCCACGTCCGCCCGGTGCTGCCCTCCGTGCGGCCCCGCAGCGCGCCGGACCTTGCGGGGCTCGGGCTGAGCCCGGGCAGCCGCCCCGGCTGGGATCTGCCCCTGCTGGGAGCTGCCCCGGCTGGGATCTGCCCCGGCTGGGAGCTGCCCCGGCTGGGAGCTGCCCCGGCTGGGAACTGCCCCCGCTGGGAGCTGCCCCTGCTGGTAGCTGCCCCGGCTGGGAACTGCCCCCGCTGGGAGCTGCCCCTGCTGGGATCTGCCCCGGCCGGGATCTGCCCCGGCCGGGATCTGCCCCCGCTGGGAGCTGCCCCGGCTGGGATCTGCCCCCGCTGGGAGCTGCCCCGGCCGGGATCTGCCCCGGCTGGGAGCTGCCCCGGCCGGGATCTGCCCCGGCCGGGAGCTGCCCCGGCTGGGAGCTGCCCCGGCTGGGATCTGCCCCGGCTGGGATCTGCCCCGGCCGGGAGCTGCCCCGGCCGGGAGCTGCCCCTTGCCCCGCAGGAGGAACGGGAGATGGGCACAGGGAGGGGGTGAGCACCGCGGCTCTGACCTGCCTTCCCCTCCTCCCAGATCCGCATGTCAGACTATCACGACCCCCACGATGGGGAGTCAGACCCCCAGCACGGCATTACTGTGGTCTTCCTCCTCGTCCTTGTCTTCTTCATCATGGGGCTGGTGGGGTTCCTGATCTGCCATGTCCTGAAGAAGAAGGGCTACCGGTGCCGCACCTTCCGGGACGAGCTTGACCCAGATGACAAAGAGGAGGTGGAGGAGCTGCAGGATGGTGAGTGCTGGGGCCGTGGGGGCTCGCTGGGGGCTCGGCCGTGTGCCTGCTGTGGGCTGGTGCTCCTCATGCACCCTTCTGGGCTGGGATAGGGCTGGGAGGGTTACCTGTCACGTGTGGCTGGGCTGGGAGAAAGGGCTGGGGCGGTGAGAGCAGCGCGGTGCTCCCTGGGGATCGGGAGGGTGAGGGCCAGGGATCCCTCTGATCCACGAGCTGGCAGCGGCTGGAGGTGACAGGGAGGTGGGAGCCAGTGTCTGGCCAGTCCCAAAGGAGCATTATCACCTAAAGGTAATTCTGATGAGTATCCAGAACTTGCTGAATCCCCAGAATCTCAATCATAACCCCTGTTCCCTCAAGGAAAACCTCTCCCAGCTGGAGCAAGTGCCTCTACCCTCTGGCACTAGGAAGTCTGGCAGGGAGCCAGTTTGTTATTGGTCATGTCTTCTCTGGTCCCTGCTGTGTTCATGCAGACCACAGAATCAGGGCTGTTGCTGGATGGCGAAGGGACCTGGAGGGAATGTTTTCCATGGCTTCAGGCCACTGCAAGTCGCTCTGGGGTGGTTGGATTGGGAAGTCACTGCCGCATGGAGCGTGGGTGCCTGGCCCAAGCGAGCTCTGTCATTCGGTGCTTTCCTGAGTCTCTGCTGAAGTGGGGAACACACATTCCTCCGGCTGCTTCCCAGGCAGGGAACAGCCACATGGTGCCACAGAACTCCTCCAGCTCCGCGTGCTGCCGGCAGTGCTGGGGAGGATCAGCCCCTCCTGCTGCCGCTGCCTGTGCTCAGGAGGGAAACGCCGCTCCCCGGCTGCAGCCAGAGCTTCCAGGGGCCCATGGATGTGCTCCTCCGGCTTTATTGTCTTGGCTGCACATGACATGGAGGCAGTCTCTGAACTTTCCAGTGTGGGCTTTGCCCTCTGGACACGCCACAGCCCAGGAAAACATCTCCATGGGATGATGGAGATCTTCCAAGATCATGGTAGCAACTCTTGAGCCTTTAAGGCCTGCCAGACCACAGCTCCAGCCTGCTTACAGCAACATCTCACACCGCTGACCAGGCTGGAGGTCCGTCCGTCCATCCGTCCGTCCCCCCATCCATTCACCCATCCATCCATCCATCCATCCATCCATCCATCCATCCGTCCATCATCCATCCATCCATCCATCCACCCATCCATCCATCCATCCATCCATCCATCCATCCATCCATCCATCCATCATCCATCCATCATCCATCCATCATCCATCCATCCATCATCCATCCATCCATCCACCCATCCATCCATCATCCATCCATCCATCCAGGCCTCCTGCCTCCAACAGTGGCTGGAAGCAGGTGGAGTTGAAAGCTGTGGGTGAACTCCACAACAGAGCAGGCACCCACCAAGATTGCTCAGAACAGTCTTTTAAACTTCCGATAGTGTGCAGCTCTGGGGCTGTCTCTGTCACTGTGTGTTCCCCATTTCTGTGTTTAGCAGTCTCAGTGGGTTTATTTTCTGTGGACATGTCCTGTTTACCCTTGGAGCCTTGAGCACTTGCAGCACCCTGCAGCCAGGGGCTCCAGGGCGGGACAAGGACCCTCCTCTTTCAACTTTTTAGAACCCGCTTCCCTCTCATTTCTCCAGATGCTCTGAAGGAGCAACACAACCCCTCTCCCTGCACACACAGCTGCTGGCTCAGCTGTTTCTTTTCCAGGATGAGGGATCTGGTGTTCCCCAGTGGCTTCCCAGTGTGACAGGGGACTCGAGGCTTCTCCAACAACTCTGCTGATGCAGCTGCTCCTGGGAAGGGATGAGTGAGCGGAGCCCCGGAGTGCCAGCCCTCAGTGCCACGTTGTCTCTTTTCAGATGAGGCCGAGAAGAACGATGACACCGTGGAGAAGATTGTGAGATGCATCATCCAAAATGAAGGTGAGCACTTCCTTGGCTGGCCCAGAGCCGTGCTGAGCACTTTGGCTGACGTGTTCCTGTTTTTCTCTCTCTTCAGCAAACGTGGAGGCCCTCAAGGAGATGTTGGGGGAAAACGAAGGGGATGTGCCAGTGCCAGTGCCCAGGTGAGGGAAGCTCATAGCAGCTTGTGGCTGCTCCACAGTGAGGGACAAGCAGCCCCGTTCCAGCTGCTACAAAGCATCTTCCCAGTGGGGAATCCTCTCCCGAGGGTTTTGAGGAGAGCTTCACCCCACTGTCAAGTGGAACAGCTCTTCCTCATTCCCCAGCAGAGGTCCCCCCCCGAGCTGCTGCTCCCAGGCCTTGCTGCAGTGGGGCTGCACCGGGGTGGGGATGGCTCCCTGAGGTGACACACCCTGTCATCTTCTGTTGCAGCCTTTGTCACCACAGCAGCAGCCAGGACGGGGGCCCGCCACATCACCACACGGTGCACCTGGGCTCCACGCAGGCCCCCTGCATCCACTGCAGCAGGAGGAAGAGGCACCCGCTGCAGCGCCAGGGCCGCTCCAAGGAGGGCAAAAGCAGGATGCATCCCGGAGAGACCACCGTCTTCTCAGTGGGCAGGTACCAATGCCAGACATTCCCTGCTGGAATGAGCACCACAGGCCCTCCTCAGTCCTTCCCCAGGTGCCCAAGGTTCCCTCTCGCTGTTCCGCACTGAGATGCCCCAGCAGCAGCTCTGCAGCTGCAGCTCCTGAGCAGCCAGGTGGTTCCTGCACCTGGAAATGCCTGTGGTGTGTGGCAGGCTGTGAGGCACCGGTGGCTTCCCTCCTTCTCCGGGAAGGTGACTCAAGCTGGCTTTTCCTGCTGAGTCAGTGCTGGGCACAGCCCCAGCTCCGTGTCCTTTCCGCTGTCCCAGCTCGGTGCAAGCAGGGCCCTTGCTGCCCAGCTGGGGGCTTTGGGGACCTCACTGGGGGGGACAGAGGGGACAGCATGTCCCAGGTGCACGGCACCACCTGCTCAGGATGAGAGTGGCTGTGCTGCTCCAGGTCGCTGCCTCCAGCGATGTCCGTAATTAGATGACACAGCAGCAATGTAAGAACAGGGGAGTGTTCCTGATACTTCCCACAAATGCTTTCCATCCCCACCTGGTTTCACCTCAAGGGACTTCCTGAGCTTCCTGTGGTCTCTGTGTCGTCACTAACCTGTAGAACAGTCTGCAGGCTCGCCCGGGCTGCCCCATTCCCCAGCAGAAAGGGTTGGGAAAGTCTTCCTGGGCTTGGCTCCCTCCGGCTGCGGTGACTGGGGCAGGGTGACAAGAAGCTGCTGGTCCCTGGATGGCCACCGTGGTGAGACACAGAGCTCTGCCATGCTCAGATTGTGCACAAGGTTTTCATTCGGGGCCTGAGCCTTGATGAAACTTCATGTTGTGGTCCAGAGAGACAGTCCCTTAATGGGAATGCTGAGCATGGAATTGTGGAGTGGTTTGGCTTTGAAGGGACCTCAAAGTTCATCTCATTCCACCCCTGGCCATGGAAGGGACACCTCCCACTGTCCCAGGCTGCCCCAAGCCCTGTCCAGCCTGGCCTTGGGCACTGCCAGGGATCCAGGGGCAGCCACAGCTGCTCTGGGCACCTGTGCCAGGGCCTGCCCACCCTGCCAGGGAACAATTCCTAATTCCCAATATCCCATCCAGCCCTGCCCTCTGGCAGTGGGAGCCATTCCCTGTGTCCTATCATGTGGATTTTTCCACCACCAGGGCAGGAGCCTCAGCAGGGAGGTGAGCTGGGGCTTTCTGGGCAGCTGGAGAAGCAGGGAGACCTGCTGGACCTCCCCAGGCCCAACTGCAGCTCAGATCACATCTTGTGGGCACTGCCAGCTCCCGGCTCCCTCCGTGCCCGTGGCTGTCCTTGGTGGTGCCCGGCAGGCCGGGGCTCTGCACAGCTCCTACTCTCCGCTAATTCACTCCCTGGCTGGTGCCCAGCTCCATCCCCTCCTCCGTGTCCTCTGGCCGTGCTCTTCCCAGCCTCCTCTCAGCACTCAGAGTGCTGCAGGAGATGCTCTCCTTTCCCAAAGGCACCTTCCCTCAATTGCTGTTTTTCCTCTTTAACCCTGTTAGTATCCCACCCCACACCAGCCTTCTCCACAGGGCGCTCATCCCGTTTCTCCAAGGCTTTACTTTCAATCCTGAATCTCTTTGGTACAAGGTCCAACTGCTAAGGGGCCTATGTGCCCAAGAGGTACAATCCCACCTCCAAATTCTGCTTCTTATTTCCAGGCTGGCCCCTTTTCTCTTCCAGGTCCTGGATGACTTTTCCAGGATTGCCCTTTCTGTGTCTTATTTATGACAAATATCTTGAAGTACTTTGACCCAGCACTGACCCTACAAAACAGGGCTTCTTGAACCCACCCCTAGAGTTAAAGACACCCTCAAGTCTTGTTCTCCTTTATTTTTGGTATTGTTCTTGCCTTGGATGCAGTGGTCGAGAGTCCAGCCCGCTCCTACATGGAATGAGCCCTGGTCTTGGTAGGAACAGGCTCGTCCCTGAGGAGTGGAAAGGATGGGAGCTGCAGAGGTCCACCAAGATCATCCAGGGCTGGAGTATGGGGCACCTGAAGAGGCTTTTTTGGCCTGGAGCATTAGAAAGGGATGATCTAATTGTCCTCTAACACTTCCCAAAGGGTGGGTGGAATTTAAATGAAGATGGGACAAGACTCTCCTCAGAGATCTGCACTGGGAAGGGCAAGAGGCAATGGCCATGAGTTACAACAAGAGAAATCCAGAAAGACGCAAGGAAAAACTGTTCTGCCATGAGGATGCAGGTGCATGAGGTGCAGCCCTTGACGGCCCTGAAGAGTGGAGGAATCTCCATCCCTGAAGATTTCCAAAACCTGGCTGGACAGGGTTCTGGGCAAAGTGCTTGAGGGTAGGAGGGGGCCCAGGTATGAGCAGGAGTCTGGCCTGGAGACCTCCTGAGGGCTTTTTGCACCTAAATTGTTCTAAACCTCTGTGGCACTCAGGGTTATGTATGGCACAGGATGATTTACCATTTAGCTCAGCGCTTTCCCTCAACCAGTTGTAGTCAGTGGCAGAGCTTGTCCATAAAACACCTGTGTCTGACCCTCTGTCCTCAGCCCCATCAGCCAGAGTGTGTCACATCCCACCGAATCCCAGGGATGCTGATGAGGCAGCCAGCCAGGGCTCCTCTGCTTTCCCTCACCAGCCAGAGGTTGGCTACGATACCTCTTGTGCCCTCTCCAGTCCAAACCCTTGCTGCTCCCTGAATCCACTCCTGACTCCTCCAGGCTGACATTGCTCAATGGCATTACCAAGAAGCGATCCGGTCACTTGTGTCTCCTTCCTGTCCCTCTTCAGGGAACATTCTTTGGTCTCCCCAAATCGCAGCGCTGGTGTCTTATCTCCAAATATCTGGACAGACCTGAAAGGTCACATTTTCTGCTGCTTGGCCTGGGAACCTTCTCTGGAGCTGGAGCATTTCTCTTCTCCACCCTCCCAATCCTGGCCCTGCTGAGGGGTTGGTGCTGTCCACAGGCTGGGCTCCAGCCTGGAAGTGGTCTCCTTCATTTCTGCCAACTCTCATGGCATCTGTTCTTATCTTCTGGACCTCTCTGTTTTTCCTTTGGAACAGCAGTGCTGCCATGTTAGCCTGGAAGTGGTCTCCTTCATTTCTGCCAACTCTCATGGCATCTGTTCTTATCTTTTGGACCTCTCTGTTTTTTCCTTTGGAACAGCAGTGCTGCCGTGTGCTTGACCTTTGTGTCCTGCTGTTCTTTCCACACCAGCAGTACTGGAACTTTCTGAAGTTGTGCTTTGCCCTGACACTGGCTTGCAGCTGAACCTCAGCCAGGTCTGTTGGCTTTTCCATGTGCGGTGCAAGCACAGCGAGAGCGGCTGTGGGTGAGCCGTGGGCTGCACCAGGTCTCGGTGCTGGCACTGGAGTGCTCTGGCTGGTGCACACCAGCTCACCGTGGAGATTTCCTGTCTGCTGTCACCAGCAGCAGTGCTGGTGAGGAGGAGTCACAATCAGCACAATCACAATTCAGACTTTCAGGCTTTGCTGACACCTTGCCCTTCCTAGGCTGAAGGAATTGGGAGAAGAGAAAGCTCCAAGGAGACTTTAGAGCCCTTTCCAGTGCCTAGAGGGGTTCCCAGAGAGCTGGAGAGGAACTTGGGACAAGGGTGTAGAGTGACAGGACAAGGAGGAATGGCTCCCTGCTGCCAGTGGGCAGGGTTAGAAGGGATATTGGGAAGAAATTGGTGGTGATGCCCTGGCACAGGGTGCCCAGAGAAGCTGTGGGTGCCCCTGGATCTCTGGAAGTGTCCAAGGCCAGGCTGGATGGGGCTTGGAGCAACCAGGTTGAGGGGAAGTTGTCCCTACCCATGGCAGGGGGTGGGAGTGGATGATCTTTTAGAGCCTCCTTCTAACTCAAGCCACGAGTCTATGATCTCTAACCCCTCTCTTCTCTCCACGTGCAATATTGCATCACCTCTGATTATTAACCCACCTTTTGAGGGTGTCAGACCCATTTCTGCAGCTTTTCTCCTGCCCACCCAGGAGCTCTGAGCTGTTACCTGCTCATGGTGCAACCTTGGTGAACACTCAGGTACCATCCGCCCCTCCAGGGCATGGTGCAAAATGTGCTCTGGCAGATTTTAGCCAAACAGCTCCTCCAGCCTTTGATCCCTGTATCCAAATCAGTGCCAAACCCCTGTCCCTGCCCTCACTGAGGGCACGCTGTCATCCAGGTTGTCTCGGAGCATTTCCAAGAGCTGTGATCCATCTTGCTGCTGGGAGGACAAGCTCTGCCCCAGCCAAGACCTGGACTGTGCTTCCCATCCTTCTCTTTCTGTTTTGCTCAAAATTAATGGGAAAATCAGTCTGGGGTCGTGGCTTGTGTAGGCGTGAATGGGTCAGAAAGGCTGGAGATCCCGGCAAAGAGAGGAGACCCGGGGCTGGAGGTACAGACAAGCTGGGAGTCCAGCGGTGGGACAGCACGGAAAAGACGGCTCTGTCCTGTCCCCGCTGCAGGTTCCGTGTCACGCACATCGGGAAGAAGCCGCCCGTGGCGGAGCAGCAGGACGGGGCCGTGCCCGCGGGCAGCCGGCCGCCGAGCACGGAGGAGCTGGAGCGCAGCAGCGAGGCGCTGCCGCGGGAGCGGGCGCTCAACGGGACTGTCCCCACGGGCGGCCTGCACAACGGAGCCGTCCGCACGGGCACCCAGAGCGCCAGAAGCGCGGAGCAAAGCCTGGCCGCCAGCCCGGCCGCGAACACACCGGCCAGCTCCGGCTCCCGTGACGGCCGGCGGGCGGGCGCGGGGTCCGGCACGGCGGGGTCTGGCACGGCCGGGTCCGGCACGGCAGGGCTCGGCACGGCCGGGTCCGGCCCGGCGGGGTCCCTGCAGGATGCTGGCTCCGCTCCCGGGAGCTCGAGCCGCCAGCGCAGGCTGATGAGCCTGCCCGTGATGGGAGCGTCGAGTCCCAACATCCCAGGAGAGCTGGCACGGGAAGGAGCCGGCATCTGCCTGGAGGAGATCGGACTGGCGTCGGCGGATGAAGTGTCGGATATCCACGGGAGCCTGAGTCTGCAGGAACAGGCCGATGAGCTGGGGAGAGACGAGAGCAGCAGGAGGCAGTCCGGAGGGGAGGACGGGAAGCAGCAGGTATGTTCCTCCTCTGCCTGGTCCCCGTGTGGTCCCCTGGGCTGGAGGGGGATTGCTTTTTCCCACCCATTTTCCAGTGTTGGAGGCAGTGGAGTGACTGTGACAGGTCCCACCCTGCTTTGGGGCAGTGGGAAGAGCTGCAGACCTGCTGCCCGTTCCCCTTGGCAAGGATTCCTTTTCCTTTGGGGACATCATTGGGATTTGACCTGGGAGAGCTCCACTGCTGCACGTGGTGTCCCCAAAACCGTAGCCTCAATGGGGTCCAGTGTGGCCAGTAAGGAACAGGCAGGGGCAGGTTTCTCTAGGAGCCTTTCTCACCTTGAAGGCCAGGAAATGGCAAAGCCAAGTGGTCATTGCTTGGCTGTTCTCCCCTGCTCCTGAGGAGCTGTGCTCAGAGAGGAGGAAAGCCCACCCTGCCTGGAGCTCCCAGTACCCTGTACCCCAGTACTCCCAGTACCTCCCAATATCCCACCCAACCACCTCACTGGAGGGGTTAGAAAGCTCCAGGGGATCTTCTCCCTGAATTGCCTCTGTGTTCTTACCAGTCAGCAAATGAGGCTGCTGGTGGTGTTCAGACACCCAGAATTTCACTCACAGGCTCACACATGGTTCTGCAGCTGGGAAAAGGTGATTTTCATGGAGGGGGGCTGGGAAACACCCCCTGTAGTGTCAGCAGCTCTGAGAGCTGGGCCTTGGCTTGCCTCACAAAACCAGCACCAGGGCACGTGTGGCAAAGCCCTTGGAAGAAAAAGGAAGCCAAATGCCTGGGTAAAATTCCTGGCGTGCTTCAAAGCCATGGAGATCCCCTGGGGCTGGTTGTGCAGGGCTGGGCACGGCCCATGCACATGCCAGCAGCCCTTGGCAGGGGTGGGATGGGGCAGGACTTCGTCAGCACGGGAGAGGCCTGGGAGAGGTGCCTGGCTGGATGCTGGATAAGGGCAAAGCAGGATCCCACCGTTTCCCTCTTTGCTTTCTGGTGACCAGGCTGGAAGGTTGGTGCTGTTTCATGGAGACGGGCAGCGCATGGCAGGATAGAGCTGATGGGCTGCAGTCCTTCCCCAGAGAGCTGGGGAGGTGGTGACAGGTCCTCCTGTGGCCCACTGAGCCTTGGGAACCCCTCTGATCGCTGGGGGAGCAGTTAGGTGCAGGGCAAGCCCAGGCACATGGTGATGTCTGTCCTCTCCACAGTGCCAGGCTCTTGCCCTGGATGCTGCCTGTGGTGCTGGGCTGCTCCAGGACATGGGGTCCAGGAGAACGGTGACAGGACCTCCCGGGGATGTTTGTCCCCAAGCCCTGGTGCCACTTGTACCATCCCCTCAGTGGCAGTCAGAGCCAGCACGAGGGTTGTTGGCTGCTCATCACGTCCTGCAGCGGTGGGGAAAGGCAGAGATGGTGCCTGGGCTGTAGTCGCTCCTGGAGACTCGGTGGGGTTCTGCCCCTCGGGTCACTGCTGTGGCCACGGGAGAGCCCCAGCCCAGCTCCATGGGAGCGCTGACCCCCCTCCTCCATCCCACAGGAGCCCAGCGTCGCGGAGCAGGACCGAGTGTGACGTGAGTGCCCGTCCCCTGCCCCTGGGACAGTGTCTGGGGCGGGTGGGAGGGCACTGCCAGTGTCCCTGCCCTGGTGGGCCTCAGCTTGCTGCTGGAGATGGAGAGAGGGTGAACCCTTTCTCCAGGGGTCGGGACGTGCCCAGCCGCAGGCAGCGACCCCGAGCAGTCCCATTTGGGGTGGCGGGGAGGTGCCACGGCTGTGGGCACAACCCCCTCTGCCCCTCTCCCCGCAGCTCCTCTCCGCTCCCGGCTGGAGCGTGCACCGGAGGCGCGCAGCCCCCGGGCCCCTCGGGGCTGGGGCTCTGCCGTGGGGCAGCCGCGGGGCAGCCGTGCCCGGCCCCGGGTGGGCAGCTACGCGCTTGGCATGGCCGGAGCGACGCGCCGGCGGCACCGACAACCGCGCTCGGCGCCAGCCTTCATCCCATTGGCAATAGGTACCCGAGTCCCACCCACCGCACCCTCCCCGGAGACCCCCCGAGGGACCCTCGGGCCTGGCAGGGGCAGGACGGCACCCAGAGCCCGCTGCCCCCGCGGCCCCCAGCTCGGGGGAAGGACCAGAGGGGGCCGCGGCGAGGGGCAGGGATGGAGGCAGCGGCTCGGGCCCCCCCCGGGGCGGTGGGGAGCACCCCCAGGCACCGGGCACGATCACCACAGAGCACAGCCCCCCCGGGCACCCCTGCCACGCAGAGCGGGCACAGGCACACACCCTGCACCGGCAGGGCCCTGGGAGATGCTGGCGGAGAGAGGAGCTCCCGGCACCGGAGGGGCCGCAGCCCGGCCCCGGGGGCGGGATGGCCCCGGGCCAGGCCAGCTTCGGTGTGTAACGCCCTGTACATAGATGAGCTACAACCATTAAAGCTGCTGAACCCCTCGCCAGGGCCAGCGGGGTTTATTGATTTATTGATTTATTGGGAACAGCCCCGCACGCCCGCTCCTGCCGGTGGAGAGGTGCTGTGGGGGCTGGCAGGGCCAGAGATGAGCCCCCCAGGAACCAGGGCTGGGAGTGCACGGGCGGTGCCAGGCAGGAAGGGGTGAGATGGGGCCTGGCTGTGGCACTGGGCACCCCAAGAAAGGGGTTCTGGGTGCTGTACTGGGATGCAGGAGCACTCTGCAAGCAGCACTGGGCAGGATGCAGCCCCTGGAGAGACCAGCTCGGGGCACGGGGCAGCAGCAGCCCCTGCTGCTGGGACAGCAGCCTGTGGTGGTTTGCTCGGGTAAAGCTTTTTGGGGAGGGGGGCTGGGGGCACCCACAGGGTCAGCTGAAGTGAAGCTCGGGGTCTGGCTCGGGGGCTCTGCCGGGCGGCGGGGGCGGCGCACGGAGCTGCAGAGAGGGAGAGGAGGGGGAAAGGGAGAGGGAGAGAAGTGGTGCCAACATGCTGAGGCCATTCATCCCCCTTCAGACCCCCCAAAACACAAGGGTGGCTCCATTACAGAAGGGCTGGGGCAGGTTTTGGGGTCACAGCATCCCTGTGAAGGGACTTACCGGCCGCAGGCGCGTGGCTGCCAGGTCTGGAGAACTGTGCCCGCTGCCTGTGCCATCCTGCCGGCAACCTGGGAGAGCCCAGCAGCTCAGCCTGCCTTTCCAGGCTCCCCCAGCCCCTTCCCAGTTTCCCCAGCACTCACCTGCCAGCGCTGCCTCAGGAGCAGGGCTGGGGACCAGGCTGGCCCCGGGTGCAAGGCCAGGAGGGGAGAAGGGCGGAGGGGATGGTGATGGCAGCTCCTGGGAAGACACAGCCAAGAGGGATGGGCGTGGTGGGAAGGGGGTCTTCACCTCGGCACTCACAGAAGTGCCAGGGTGACAAAACCACCCTCCTGCCACCAACCTGCCCGGCTGCCTCCCGGGCCCCGGTGAGCTCCTCCACCACCAGGGAGGGGAAGACGCCGACGCGGCCATCGAAGTCGCCGGTCCAGAAGCCATCGTCCACCTCGCCAGCAGCGCGGGGCAGCACCCGGATGATGGCTCCCTCAGGGAAACTCAGCTCCTCGGGGCTCTGCCCCTCGTAGTCATACAGGGCTCGCACCAGCCAGGCTGTGGGGAGGGCAGGGAGGGGGCTCAGCACCCTCTGGATCCCATCCCCTCTCTGGGGTGGGGGTGATGCCCAGCACGCACCTCCAGGCTCCAGCACCAGTTCTGCAGCCATGATGCTGGAGAGCTGGCGGTGCAAGGCAGAGGGGCCTGGGGGGCCCAGCCCAGCACCCGAGTCACAGCCCAGGGACAGCAGGTACTTTTCGGGGACGTAGCCAACTTGCCCAGCCTTGTTCCGAGCCTGAGGAGGCAGAAACCATGTGAACATCCCAGGCTCCAGCGTGGGGCCAGCCTGGGGACCTCCAAAAGTTGTGCCCCAGTAGTATGGAGGGGGGCTCAGTCTCCTCCCACCTTCACCCACTCCTCTGCATCCCCATCCTCGATGATCTCCAGCTCCTCGCCCTGGCTGATGGACAGCTCGTCCGCCTGGCAGCCCTGCAGGAGATGGGGACAAAGCGGCAGAGGGGCTGAGGTGCCATCCCTCGGCAGGCAGGGCGAGGGCCAGGCAGGCAGGGCCATACCTGGTAGCCAAAGATCACCCGGCAGGTGTAGGGGTAGGTGCGGGCAGCAGGCCCAGGCTCATCATCCTCATCTGGCTCATCGCTGTCCTCGTAGTCATCGAACTCGGCCGGGTCCAGCCCCGTGGGGGTCTCCTCTCCTGTCCCCACCATGGCCCCAGACAGCCAGGTGTCCACGTCCAGCCCTGCTGCCCGCAGCAGTGCCAGCCGTGCCTCGGCCTTCACTCGGCTCACCTGGGGACACCACGCATTGTCACAGTCCCCAGGGCACCTCTGCCAGTGTCCCAACCCCACTGCCCCCATCCCCAGGGATGCCCAGCACCACACCCCAAGAGCAGCATCCCAGCCACCACCCCTGCACCCTGGGGGGTGACAGACCCCGATGTCACCCCAAGCTCCCTGGCTGGGGGTCCCACCTCTGCCTTGCGGATGTTTTCCCTCACTTCCTCCATCTGCCGCTCCACGGCCGCCGCTTCCGCCTCCAGCCCCTGCTGCCGCCTGGCCTCCAGCCGCTGCAGCACCTGGGTACCCACAGCTCAGAGGGGGGGGCAGCTGGGAAGGGGCTGCAAAAGCCCCTCCTGAGCCCCCTAGTGCCCCGTGGGGCAGGACAACACCCACCTCCTCGCTGTGCGCCCTGCTCTTGTGCTCTCGGGCCACCCGCGTGGCCCAGCGCCGCGCCTCCTTCTCCAGGCTGGCCCCATCCTCTGCTGGTGGCAGCAGGCACACCTGGGCAAGGACACGGCGGTGACAAAGGGCTGGCTGTGCCGACCCCACCTTGCTGTAATGACCCTCTCCACTTACCTCCTCCAGCCCGGTGAGCTGGAAGCGCTGCTCGGGCGCCAGGGAGAAGGCGGGGTGGTCCTGCAGGAAGAGGAGCAGGTCCTGCTCCCGGCACACCTGCAGCAGGGGAGTGGCGTGGGCCGGGGGCTCACCTGTGCCCCCGTGTCCCACCCAGCTCGGGGCACAGTGCCGTTACCCGCGCGGATGCCTCCACAACGCCCTGGAACCAGTCCCTGGTGGCCCGGCAGGTCTCCACCTCCGTCCGGCTGGCGGCCGACAAGTGCTCCCGGAGCCGCTCGTAGAGGTCCCCGTCCAGAGCCTGGGGGAAAGCAGATGGGAACCCCCCAGCACTGCCACATCCCCACCCTGGAGCATCCCTGAGCCCCCAGGACAGCCAGCCCTGACCCTGTGCCAGTGGGGAGATACTCTTTGAGGGACCCTGGGGAGGGGCACGGGGGGTCTGGGCATCTCGTACCTGCATGGCTGCGGGCAGCTCCACACGCTGGTAATGCTCCAGGTGGGCAGAGGCAGACACCAGGGCGAAGCTGTACTCGTTCTGCACGCCCGCCAGCTGCCTCGAGTGCTCGGCCAGTCGCGCTGAGAACTGTGGGGACATGGGCAGCGTGGCTTGGCGATGGTGCCCCGTGTCCCCCCGCATCCCCCTACGTGGGTACACTGCCACCCCCCGCGCCACCAACCTTGGCACTGAGCTTTTGCAGGCTGGCCTTGGTGTGAAATATCCGCCGGTCGCTCTTGCGGAGGCTGGGGAGGATGGGAGGGGGTGTGAGACCCCCCCGCAGCCACAGCGGCCCCCCGGCCCCGTGTCCCCCGCTCACCGCGCCTCCACATCGGCCGCCTTGTCCCTGGCCACCTCGCTGCTGCGCCGCAGGTGGCTGAACTGCTTCTTCGCCTTGTCCAGCTCCTTCACCGTCTCCAGCAGCTCCACCTGCGCCTTCTGCAGCCGCTCGATGCCCTGCGGGGAGCGTCAGCTGGGGGGGACAGCTGTCCCCCCCGCCCGGGCACAGGGACATGGCCTTGCCCCGGTACCTTCTTCAGCGTCCTCTCCTTGGAGAGGCGGGCGCTGCGGGCGGCCTCGGCGGCCAGGGCGCGGTAGCTCTCGGAGGCGGTGACACGGAGCTGCCCGGCGTGCGCTGTCCCCTCGATGACGCCTTTCCAGACAGCGGCCACGCTCCTGCGGGCACAGGGTTAACACAGGGCCGGGCACTCCCTGCCCCGTGACACCTTTCGGGGACCATCAGCACCCCCAGACCCAGCGGGGCCCTGGCACTGGGGACAGCCCACCCACAGCTGCATCCCAGTGACACCCAAATCCCAGTTGGCAATAAGCATCTCCAAGTTGGGAGGGCCATGGGCAAGTACAGCAAGCCCCAGTGCTGGTCCCAGCCCTGTCCCTGTCCCCAGCCCACCTGGAGTCGCCAGCCTCGCCACGGCCCCGCTGCCAGTCTCTCTTCACGAACTGGCTGGCCAGCCTCTGCAGTGCCTGCAGACAGACCCGGCATCACCGGCACTGCCCCAGCCCGCCGAGCATCCCAGCACCCCCCTCTGGGCCCAAAACTGGGCTCCCCCACCCAGCTGCCCACCCCACGGACCTGGGGACACACACGTGCCCCCCAGAGCACAGACACATCCCCGTGGCTTGGTGTCAGCAGGAATCCCATTGTGCTCCCCTAAACCTTTTGGGGGACAGCTGCCACAATGAAAGGACCCCCCTGCTGTGGCTTTTGGGACAGAGCACTTGCAAGGGGACATCAGTGAGGGACACTGGCTACAGAGACAGAGTAGAGGAGCCCCAGCAAAGCCAAGCACAGCAAGACCCCAACGCTGGGGGGACGGATGGTCACCCCCAGCCTGGGGGTGTGAGGGAGGGGAGTGACACAGTGACCAGCTGCAGGAAGGGGGGACACAATTCCGCTGCAGTGTGTCCCCAAGGGACGCTGCTGCAGGGACATCTCACATCAAAACCAAAGTGACATTTCAGAGCAGCGCCCTGCGATGACCCAGCAGACAGCAGAGCCCAGCGGTTTCCTCCCCCCACAAGGTTTTCCCTCCAGGCTCCCACAACACCCGAGGTTTGTGCCATGCCGTGCTCAGCAGAGCCCCCAGCGGGTGCTGAACGTGGTCGGGGTCCTCCGGCAGGATGAGCCATCTGCTGGACCCTCCGGGCCAGCACGGAGCAGCCGCGCTCGGGCGATTTCCGTCCTCCGGCAGGATGAGCCATCTGCTGGCCCCTCCGGGCCAGCACGGAGCAGCCACGCTCGGGTGACTTCCCAGGCTGCTCATTGCCCGCGTGGGGCCGTGCCCAGCTCCTGCCCCAGGCCGGCAGGATGGGCCTGGGCCCCCCAAGAACATTGATCCCGAGTCCCGCGGCACCTCCTTACCTGCCCGTACTCCCTGTCAATGGTGGCCCTCTGCTTGCTGTAGGACCTGGGGGGAGAGGGGACACAGAGAGGGGCAGGCATGGGCCACCCCTGCCATCCCCTGCTGCCACCACCCCCTGCCATCACCCCCTTACTGAACTGTCCCCGT